CTCCTGCCTAGCTGTTCATCTCTTTATTAGAACAATCAGATATTTTAGACAAACAAAGCAACACAGCTTCACAGAGTTAAACAAATGCAATGTAAGAGAATGCAACATATCTTTGCATCATTAAATAAATGTTCCACAGTATAAACAAATGTAACACATCTTAAAACAATATTCTACAACATTTATGTATGTCCTTTTTATTCCTGATCTCGCCAAGACTTTTATTATGAATGGGTGTTGGATTTTGTCAAAGGCATTTTCAGCATCTAATAAAATTATCATGTTTTATTTTTTCTTTCAGTTTGTTTTTATGGAGGATTGTGTTGATAGATTTTTGTATGTTGAAGCAATCCTGTATCTCTGTTATGAAGTCTACTTGGTTATGGTGGATGATCATTTTGATGTATTCTTGGATCCAGGATGCCAGTATTTTATTATTTTTGTATCAATGTTCATGAGTGAAATTTTTCTGTAATTCTCTTTCTTTTTTGAGTCTTTGTATGGTTTGAGTATCATGGTGATTATGGTCTAATAGAAAGAATTTAACAATGTTTCTTCTGTTTCCATTTTGTGGAATAATTTGTAAAGTGTTGGTATTAGTACTTCTTTGAAAGTCTGGTTGAATTCTATGTTAAATCCATTTGGTCCTGGGAATTTTAATGACTGCTTCTATTTCCATAGGGGTTATCCATTTATTTAAATTGTTGGTGTGATCTTGATTTAACTCTTGTAAGTGGTATCTATAAGGAAATTTGTCATTTCTTGGAATTCCAAATCAAATGGACCTAAGAAGCAAGTTGATGTAGCTATCCTAATATCTAACAAAATAGATTTCCAGTCAAAAATTAATCAAATGATATGGATAAGGGCATTTCATATTAATCAAAGGAAAAAATCAACCAAGATTATGTCTCAATTCTGAGCATCTATGTTCCAAATATAAGGGCACATATATTTGCAAAAGAAACATTACTAAAGCTTAAATCACACATCAAACTCCACCCAATAATAGTGGGAGATGTGAAAAACCCACTCTTACCAATGGATAAGTATTGTGATTTTGCTCTTTTGAGGGGCCTGCCAGTTAGCTCCCAAATAAATCGTACATGGAGGCTTATTCTTAGTTATAAATGATAGGCCTTAGCTTGGCTTGTTTCTTGCCAGCTTTTCTTAACTTTAAATTGTGCCATCTGTCTTTTGCCTCTGGGCTTTTACCTTTCTCTATCCCTGTATACCTTTCCTTCTTACTCTATTGCTGGTTGTGTAGCTGAGGGGCTGGTCTCTGATGTCCTCCTAGCCTTGTTCTTGTTCCTAGACCTCATCTCTTCCAGATTTCTACTACTATATATTCTCTCTGCCTACCAGCCATGCTTATCCTTTCTCCTGCCTTGCTGTTCTCCTGGCCATACAGTTCTTTATTAGACAATCAGGTGTTTTAGACAGGCACAGTAACACAGCTTCACAGAGTTAAACAAATGCAACATAAACAAAAGTAATATACCTTAAAATAATATTTATCAAAAGACAGGTTATCCAAACAGAAAACAAACAGAGAAATAATAAAACTAACAGATGTTATGACTCAACCAGCCTTAACAGATATCTATAGAATATTTTATCCAAACACACACACCCCCATACACACCTGCTTTTCAGCATCTCATGGAACCTTCTTCAAAATTGACCATATACTCAGCCACAAAGCAAGTCTCAACACATATAAAAAATTGAAATAACTTCCTGTATCTTATCAGACCACCATGGATTAAAGCTGGATTTCAACAACAACAGAAACAA